TTTATTCTTTTTCTGCAGAATTTTGAAGGAGATTTTGTACCATGTTGGCACAGAGTTGATTTTATTTTAATGCTCAAGAATATGTAGACAGTCAAGTGTACTATATTCAGAAATAGGAAATAAGAGAGAATAATGTGAATAGATAATCATCTCCAGTCTCAGTTCAGTCTTGGCATTTTCCTTCACTCTACTCAGTAGAAATATTTTACTTCTGTAGGAGATAATAAGACATTTAATATGTGGATACTGACCTTAAGGAGCTTACAATTGCTATTAGAGGTTTAGGCACCTAAGTGAGAAGTTAAACGATATGCAGTAGTTACCTAGACATTCTAGAAATGTCACAAGGTAGTGGCTGATAAATATTAAAAAATGTCAGTGCTGACAAGTCCTAGTATAGTTCATAGGAGGTAGAAGCTTTGGGAGCTGGCTTGGAGGAAAAGGGCTTCATGAAGGAGATGTAACTTAGAATCATTTCAGCAGGAAACCGTAGAGGTCCTCTAACCCAACTAGATGAATCCCTTCTGCCACATCACTAATCAATGGTTCTTTTTTTTTTTATCCTCTCCAGTAATAACAGAATTCACTTTCATGAGACATCCTGCTTCAAGCCCTTAAAGAGAATGTTCTTCCTTATGCTCAGCCTCAAATTAGCCTCCTTATTAAGTCTGATAGTGTTATCCAGAGCTTCCCAGCCCCTGTATCCATCATCCTCAGGTGCCCCAGTATACTACAGATGTGCCGGTTTATCTCTTCCCTTGGGCCCCCTAGCTGTCTTGCAGGGCCTGAAGTACCCATAGCACCAGGATGATGGCCATGAGAAACCTCCTGTGTTTATCCCAGTGCAATACTATGATCACTTCTTATTTATGCTCTGCTGTGAAAATGATTGTGAAGCATTGCTCAGTATAGTGTAGTGGTGAAGATAGACACGAGTTGGAATCTTGGCTCTACCAGCTACTTATTACTTCTAATACCTTGGGAAAAAGACAGTTCCAATACTCAATTTCTACATTGTAAAATGGGTATAATAATACTGGCTCCCTTATAGAGTTGGTCTAAGAATTAAAGATAACACATTAGGACAAATAAATACTATTATTGTCATTGGTTCTGCTTTTCCCTTTTTTAACCACAATATAGAATTCCTCTTCTATTCATAAACTTCAAATAATTTAAAGTTAGTTTTTGTTTCCTTTGAGTCTCCTCCTCTGGCTAAATATCCCAAGTTCCTTTAGCATCTCCTTGTCCAACGTGAGTTTAAGTTTCTTCAACTTCTTAATTGCTGTCTTCTGGACACTGCATGGTGTCTTTGGGCTCCCTTTTAAATATATAGTACTAAGAACAGAATGCACCCCAGCAAATGTGGCTTGATGAGCTAATCCTTGAAGCGTGGAGGGAATAGGGGAATGAGGAAAGGATATTCTCACTGGAAAACAGTGTAATTAATGAGCAAAGGAGAAAAAGCCATAATAGATATGTCATGTTTAGCAACAGATGGGCTTAACTGGCTAAAAGAGAGTCATAGTGAGAAAAGATTTAAAAGTGGTATATTACGAAGTCCCTGGAACTATGAGACTATGAATTCTATCAATATAAAGGAAAACCAACAAAATCATCATTATAGGAGATTGATCTATTATTTGAAAGCAAGCAACCACAGAATTTATGTGAGCTACTCACAAGCAGGAAGACGTTATATTATAACCCTTCTCTTGCTCCCCTTTGATAAAAACAATCAATAACCCTAGAATCACCCCAAAGGAGATGCTGAAAACTTGGAGACGATTCACAAACCGCACATTCTGTTTGGCTGTTGGCTGTCGCAGTGTTGGCTGTGGTTAGAAGAGGCTGGTGACCCAAAGAAGTTACTTTGTCCTGTCCTAGGAATCACATCTCAGTAGCTTCAACCTCCAGATTTCCTTTATTCCTAACCCTTTCTTTTCTTGCCTTCTGGTCCTTTTTCCATTCTTTCAATTTGCATAATGCTTAGGACCTTTGGGGGTTCATGCCACCTCTACCGAGTACTAGCTGTATGACTTAGGGCAAATTACTCAGCTTCTTCGTTATTCAGTTTCCTCTTTTGTAAAACCCCATCCTTACAAAAGTGGATTTTTACAGGACTTTAAAAATTAACTGTGGGGCTTCCCTGGTGGCGCAGTGGTTGAGAGTCCGCCTGCCGATGCAGGGGATACGGGTTCCTGCCCCGGTCCGGGAAGATCCCACATGCCGAGGAGCGGCTGGGCCCGTGAGCCATGGCCGCTGAGCCTGCGCGTCCGGAGCCTGTGCTCCGCAACGGGAGAGGCCACAACAGTGAGAGGCCTGCGTACCGCAAAAAAAAAAAAAAAAATTAACTGTGACCATTAAATGAGTTAATGTATCCAACGTGATTAGCAGAGAGCCTAGCAATAGTAAGTGCTATGTATGTTAATTATTGTTATTTTGGGTCATTATTATTCAAACACTCTGCTAGGCACAGGGGATGCAGAGGAGAACAGGACAATCCCTTACCCTCAATGTTCACATTTCTCCTGATTTTGTGACCAAGGCAATGACTTTGGAAGCACATTCTTGGATACAATTTATTAGCAATCATTAATTGTCTTTGTAACCCTGGATGAGGCACTTAATTCCTCTGAGCCTCTTTCCTTATCTGTAAAATGAGGATTAATAAAATCTACGTGGAGGATTTGTTCTGACTTTTAAACAAAACGAAATATGCATATTGCCTGGCACATAGTTGTAACTAAATATACACTCCTTCCCTCATAATCCTGTGGCCACACCTGAGGCTAGGGGACCTAAGCCTGAGTTTAAGAGCCAGCGATTTCTTCTAACGTGCCAGGCCGGAGCACGGAGGTATAGCGGGAACTCGTCTTCAGGAAGGGCAAAAACGAGAAGGTAGGACAGAAGAGAGACAGGAGGGAGGCAGAGAGGCCGAACCGCACTACATCTCCCGGGATGCTCAGCAAGAGGGAGAGCCGAGCCCCGCCCCGGCCCGCCCAACCGGCACAGCAGGCGCTGCCCACCCCACGGAGCCCGGCGGCGCGCAGAGGCTACAAGTGCTGCGGCTTGTGAGCGGGGTACTTTCCCGAGGAGCCGCGCAGGGACAAGCGCGCGGTGCTCGAGCATCGCTGGGTGGCCAAGGCAGGAGGTGAGTGGCGGAGAGAGGGACGGGGAGGAGGCGCTGGGGCGAGGGAGAGACCCCGAGAGCCTGGCCGAGCGTCCCCAGTCCTTGCCCAAGGTGCCTGCCTTGCCTTAGGGTATTTGGCGAACGCAGCCCAACACTGGGTACCTCGGCGGACACGGAGTTCACCCGGAATGGATTGACTGATTCCGCGAAGGACACCGCTGCCCGGAGCTCGCGGCGCGCCCTTCCCGCACAGCGCGCGCAGGACGGATCCCGAGGTCGCCTCCCCCAGACCAGCCTCGCCTGTGTCAGTTAGTTCCAATGCAAATATTAATGTCCTTAATTGCTGGCAGACGGACGAGGGAGAGTGCTGACCCCTCGTTTTGCGGTGCAGTTTTATTAACCGCGCTCTTAAACCAGAGACGAGAGGGAGTAGACTGAAGGAAAGAGCCTTTAGCTGGTCCCCTGGGATTATCCATTCTCCCCTGAGAATGGAAGCCCCGGATAACGGAGCTGCAAAGGAAATCGACTGTGCGGCTTGTTCCGATGGAACAAGCAGTCTCCCTTTTAAGAGAAAAAGAAGCAGGAGAAGGGAATTAAGTGGAGATTTCTCTCCCTCTTTGTTATAAATTGGAAGTCCCATAAGGGACTCTGCCGATTTTTATCTAAAGTAATCCAATTTGATGGGTTATTTGTGCCAAGGGTTAATCACAGCGCCTAATGTTTGAGGGAACTGCGAGATGATTTCTCATTTCAGTAATTGGTCAAACCCGTTATCATCGCTTCCTTCACTGAGGGATCCTGCAGTGGGGGTCTGTCCACCTACTAAAGGAAAGCTCTGGTTCAGTTGTGTTTTTCCTGCACCTGATTTTTTTTGTTTGCTTTTGTTTTGGGTTTGGTTTTTATCTGTTTTAGCCCCAGAGAAACGCCGATAATAGGAGAGAAGTGTGTGTGTGTCTGTGTGTGTGTGTGTGTGTGTGTGTGTGTGTGTGTGTGTGTTTTAAACAAACTCTAATGTAGAACAGAAAACATGTAAATTTCCTCTCCCATATTTTAAGTGAGTTGCCAGGTGGACTTTAGGTTAGCCTACCTGCGTTTCTGTGTGGGTTTACCAGCTGCTGGGATGTGGATTTTGAAGCATAATAAGCCTCCAAGACATGAGTTAAATCAGTTATTACCCTGAACTTGGAAGCAAAATAAAAAGGGCCCTTGCTTGAAACCTCTGTACTTGGTGATAGTGGAAAGTACATTTTTATTCCTCAGAAAGATGGCAGAGGCAGAGAAAGATGGGCAACTGGTTTTCTGCTCAACACAAACTTCTATCCCATAAATGTGCCTTGCTGTGGTGGGGCTGAGGGCATGTGACGGATACAGAGTTCCAGAGGTAACTCTGGAAATAGCTTTCCACCTATTTGCCTCAACAAAACTGTGACTCTGTGGGTTGATGATTTGTCTTTTATTGTCAGTTTACTTCTAGATTGGATTTGTGAAAACTTCTAGACAGTTGATTTCCTATACACATTTGTTAGCAAACCATGCCGAGGTAGAGGAACTCATATCCACTCAGACCCAGTGAGTGGGAGTAGCAGACCTATACCTGGAGCAGGCAGGTGTGTGTGTGTGTGTGTGTGTGTGTGTGTGTGTGTGTGTGTGTGTTTTGCAGAGATCACACAATGAGGTGTGTCGTCCATATACTTTTGGGTCCAGAACATGCTACCGCCATCTGGCAGTAAGCTGAGAATGGAAGCACTGTGAACAAGGCTGTGTGACTAGGGTCTCTGGATATACAAAGTGTAAGGTTAGGAGGGGTGGCTGATCAAGCTAGCCATCTTTCACCCATTTCAGAGCTACCCAGTCAAAATGCTGAGCCCCAGCTCCAACAGAGCCCAACTGAGAGTGACATACTGATTGGTTCACCCATGGTGACGCTCTAACACTAATCTGTCTTAGAATCTGTTCTGAACTACAGAGAGTCTAAACACTTATAATTTAACTGAATTGTTGAGAAGTCTGTGCTTCCCTAGATTCTTCAGAAAATCAGCAGCTCTGCTAAAAAAGGTCCCTGCTTTTCTCATTTGTATCTCTATGCAGGAAACCTGCCTTCTCGTTTGAGGGATCCTGTCACCGAAATGTGTGAGTCCTTGGATAAATTTGGCTTGGTGACGGCAATGCTTTCTTCAGAGACACTGCCACTTCCTCCATGTTCCTTTTCTACCCTGGCCTAAATTTCTCAGTGTTAATCCCTGTGATAAGTCAGAGGATTTGCCCTTCTCACACTTTCCCACCACTAGGTAGCCTCTCCTTTCTCTTACCTCTTTTAGGAGGAATTGGGGCTGAAGTGTCAAGACCTGTGGCTACAAAGGAGATGAGGGCCTCAGGAGCAATACTGCTGGTGGTACGGCCTTAGCTCCTGTTGGGTTCTTATCTAACTGTGTTGCTATTGGCAGACTTTCTGGAAGCTGCTGGGGGATGTCTGACTAGCTCCAATGGAGCTCCACTATCTTGCTAAGAAGAGCAGCCAGGCAGCCCTGTGTGATGCTGTGGACTGGAGTTCAGGAGGGCTTCCCAGGGACCAGGCAGATGCAGCAGCCACCAAAGCTGCTCTCTGCTGCCAGAGACATTGTACGTCGACACCAAGAGCACCAGAGAGGGAAGGGTCTAAACTTAGCCCTTCTCCAGCATCCCCTTCCCCCTCACTGCAAGACAGTGCTATTCAGCTAGACTTCTTGCCACCAGGGCTTCTCAACTCAGGGAACAACCAAATAACAGCAGAACAGAAAGTCTGTGACTGCTGTAGCCAGGAATTAGAAACCTCTTTTACCTATGTGGATGAGAATATCAACCTGGAGCAAAGGAACCGGCGTTCCCCTTCAGCAAAAGGGAGTAAGCACCTGGGAGACCTTGGCTGGGGAAATCCAAATGAGTGGTCCCCCGAGGCTGCCATATCGCTGATATCCGAAGATGAAGATGATGCAAGCTCGGAAGCCACCTCTTCAGGGAAGTCAGTAGACTATGGTTTCATAAGCGCCATCTTGTTCTTGGTCACTGGCATCTTGCTGGTGATCATCTCTTACGTTGTCCCACGGGATGTGACTGTGGATCCCAACACTGTGCCGGCCCGGGAGATGGAACGTCTGGAGAAGGAGAGCGCGAGGCTGGGGGCTCACCTAGACCGCTGTGTGATTGCCGGCCTCTGCCTTCTCACGCTTGGGGGGGTCGTTCTTTCCTGTTTGCTAATGATGTCCATGTGGAAGGGGGAGCTATATCGGCGTGACAGGTTTGCCTCTTCCAAAGAGTCTGCGAAACTCTACGGTTCCTTCAACTTCAGGATGAAAACCAGCACTAATGAAAACACCCTGGAGCTGTCCTTGGTAGAGGAAGATGCTCTCGCTGTACAGAGTTAATTCTGGTTGTGAACTTCTTGAGAGTCTGCCTTGGCATTTTATATGAACAGAACAAAGCAAAGCAAAACAAAACACAACACATTTCTTAAAATTAACAGTGCAGTTTATTTGCCTGGCGAGGAAAGTCTATTTCCCAAACGAACAGCCAGTGAGTGTTTTTGTTCTCTATGTACTTTTATTTAGAAGAAAAGCCATGTAAGATGCATGAAGAAACCACAACCAGCTTCACCAGTCCTCAAGAGCTGAGAGTAATTAATCTGTAATGGCCATCAGCTTCTACTTCTATAGCAAAATACTTCTAACAATCCAGTGTGCGAGCGATTTCTTTTACATGATATGGGATATTATTCTTTGGACACTAGGAGGTGTAGGATCAATTAGCAACCTATTTTGTGAAAAAGAATGTAAGCGCTAATCACATAATAAGGCTTACATTTAATTCTCAAAGGTGCTTATCCATTTTCTTGCTAAATTTATTCTTCCTGTAATTTGGCTAAACACTAAAATATGGGGTTTTGACTTTGAATATTTCGAAGCTTGAGGATACTGATTATTAAAAAATGCAAAAACACATATGTTATATTCAAAACTATTCCAGTACACAGAAGTGGTAACTAAGTCATTAGAATAAACTTTCTAGTAAAATAAAATTATATAAATCAAACAATCTGAATTTAACCCAGAGTGGTAGTGTCAGATATGAGGCAGTGTCACATGCCCATTTTCTAGATGAAGTAAAATTAATTGCTGATATAAATTTCATTTTCTGTTTGTGATTTAGCTATCATACTGGTTATGCGCACTCTTGAAGTCTTTCCTGGTTCTCACACCAGAGAGGCAAGAATAAGATGTTTTTATCCTATTTCCAGATATCTAAGCATCTAGGCAGGTTGACTCATGATTGGCTCAGGCACACTCCCAGGTGACATTTTGTTGTTGTTTGGAGAAAACCTCCAATACAAGTGCAGCTAGACTCTTGGGGACCGTGCCTAGAAACTGGTGTCATTTACTCAGGCCAAGCAACAAGTCATTGCGCCAGGATGGCAGCAGTCCTTAAGCTCACAGCCAAAAATATTAAAATGAGAAGAGAGAGAGACAGACTAAACACACTGACTCAGTGGGAACTGCACTCCTCACCAGAATCCACCTGCCCCTAACAATGGTCTAGGCATCATTCTGAGCACCTAATATCCAGGCCCTGAGCACCTGTGAGATCTTGCCTCATGCATTCAAACTTGCTTGATTAGAAGCACCGTGAGCAAAACAGTAAATACTTTGTAAAACACACACCTAGCATCCATGCTAACTCAGCGTCTTGGTACGGTTATGGTTCAAGAAGGGGATGGGGAATGCAGCCTCAGAAATATCTTGCATTTTAGAATTCTTCTCTGAGGTGTTTCCAACTTCCCACTTCAAGAGTGGTTTTAGTTTCCATTACTGTGTTACCAGGATCAGTGGGGCCATTCTTAAAGAGGACTGGAGCTGGGAATTGGGGTGGGAGGGCAGGAAAGGGGAGGTGAGAAAGTGATTTCTTTGTAGATTCTAAAGCCTAATTCTAATGTCTGAAGTTTTTGTTGTTATTGAAGACTGTGGAATATGTGGGTGACTTTGGCTGGCAGAGTGTGTGAGTCAGGATATTTATGTGAGTGAGCTCTTGTGGGTGTCAGATTGATTTGATGAGTTAGGTACACTATGTGTTAGTAAGGGTTAAAGCGAAATGCAAAAAGAGAAGATCAGAGGATAATAAAAATAGTGAGGACAGGTGTGTGAAAGAATTATTAGGTTAAAATGGTAAATTATATGGACATCAGAGGAAGCTGGATGTAGCTGGATTACCTTATCCTATGTAACAGACTATTACTGATTTGGAAATAGTTGGTATAATATAGACATGATTTCTGTTTTCTACCGCTTTTTGAACAAACTTTTGTTTTACTGTGACTCTCATGTGTTGAGGCCGGCTTAACAGCAGTATAAATTTCATATTCTGAGGTTTACATATAAATTTTCAGATTCTAGCCTGCTTGAGGATCTACTTTGCGTGACGTTGAGGCAATAAGGGAATAATCTCCTTGGCTTCGTGAGTAGGTCTGAGCTGTGTGTTTTTTTAAAATATACTTTTAAAAAATACGTGTTTATTCAGAGATGCTAAATGGCATCAGCTGAGTTTTGTTTTTATTTATTGATGAAACAGGATTAATTAGTCAAATTGCAGACAAACAATTAATGAGCAGCCTGATTTTCAGCTTCTGAAGTAAGACAAATTTGAGAATCAGGTGTTAGGACGTTTTTTCAGTTCTGTAAAACTGATGCTAGAGGAGAAAAAGTCAAAGCTCTTCCTTTGGAAGCAATTAATGAATGTTGTAGTGCTACCAAACTACATATAGTTCTGATGTGATCTAAAGGATATATATTCCTACATATATATCCATATAAATATATGTATATATCCCAATTAGGAAAAAATATTCAGGGAAAAAAAGACTTAGAATATATTTCTTCCTTTTCTTCCTTAAACTTTTAAAATTGAAATATAGTAAGTATATGCTTACTTATGTCAACATTATTTAAATCTGCTCGTATATAGGGCAGATATATAGGGCATATCTCTTTTAACTTCTCCTTTTATGTGGGCAGACCATTACTCCAAAAGGAACCAATTCAGAACATCATCTGGGTGTCTCCTCTAGTGCTGTGTTGACATGATTTAGACAACTGCCTTAATCAGTTATGATTTCCCCAGGTATTCAGATGTGTAGCTCTAGTTCATCCTGTCAGTGCCTAAATTCAAGAAAAAGATTAACTGAATTTAAAGTGATGGTAACACAGGTAACAAAAAACCCTGAACTTTAGACACTGTTTTTTCCAATCTGATAAAGAGGGTTTGGGGCTCTAAATATATTTATTTAGAAGTACTTTGGCAACATCAGGTGATACTGTTATAGTCACTGAACAGACCATAGCTATGGTGCTGGTCTTGGAGCCTTCCTGGAGATTTGTGACTTTACGCCTATCTCTTTAACATGGTGCTGGTTGTTATCTATGAGAGCTTTTATTGCTAGACCTGGAGAAGCAGAACTCTTTTTGCAGAGGTCCATAGTTTAGGTCTTTAACTTTTTACCAGGTTTTAGAGTCACCTTCCTATCTTAAAAGAAGACAGCTCATTGTTCAGCGTTGAGACCCAAAGCGGTGAGTACTACAAAGAAAGCTGCCTTTCTCTATTACTACCGGGATCTACAGGCTGCTAACGAACAGTTTGTCTTAATGACTTTAATAAAAACTGTTCCTTTTTAGTTCACCTTAAACTGTTTGTGGCAGAGCTGCCGTGATTTCTTTGCAATGTTGTGTGTCCTTTTTAGCCATCTGGAGCTCCTAAAGCAGACCATCTCATATGATGTACTGGCTCCCTCATAAGAAGAATGTCTTTCCTCCAGGCTCCCCATTTCATAGCTGGTTTGTAGTTTAGAGGATTACAGGACTCCTTGGAACCATGAAATTCTTGGTGGCTGTGGGTGTTTTTACCCACAAAATTGCCATGCCCCTTGATGCTATACTACCTAGCTACTTGCCTTGCTATCAGTCTCACATGCTTTACTGTCTGCTTAAAATATGAGTCCATCCCTCTCATACTTAATTGTTTTAGGGACCCAACTGGACCAGTACTGGCACATGTCCTTCGAGGTGCAAATTTAGACAAAGAGACTGCCCTACCAAATTCCTTTGTGCCTTCCCTTTGCTGCTGGGCATAAGGATAAATGAGTGAGTGAGAATTATGTCAGTTGAATATCAGGAATTAAAGGTGTGAATCCAAGTGGCTCTACTTTTTGTTACTTCTTTGTGAGAGGCAAAAATTCTGGGCAAGAAGATTTGAACATTTTAGGCTTCATCTTTCACACGTGCAATGACAGGCACATGCAAAACCTGTATTATTCACATAAAGTTAAACAACAAATGTTCTATGTATATATTAGGGGAAGGTTTTCCAATCTGAAGGCCAGATTCCATTGCAGCAATAACTGCTACCACAAAAATGTGGTCTGACAAAAGAGATTCACAACCTTCACCAATGGTTCACCTGTTCAGCAAGATAATACCACCAACTATATTCCACTGTGACAAAGGAATAAGACAGATCCTTATAGTTCTCTGTAATGGGGTTTACCCTTTCCCAGAATTGGGCATAAAGAATGACTACAATAAAAAGAATTACGATGAAATCTCACTGGCTTTTCTCAGTATAAAATGATTTGTAAAGAGAATTGACATATCGGCTTTCAGCTGATTTTCAGCCATATCATTTTATGGTTCATAGTATTCTATAATATTCTTTCCTTCCAACTTTCGTATGGGCATAAGCCTTGGGAAGTAATTGGCCTGACTTGTGCACTAGCACTGTAAAAAGTAAGATGTTATTTTAAACATAAAAAACTGAGTTCAAAAATCCATGGGTTACTTTTAAGAGTGCACCTATCATTTCTGTTTGCTAGTGTGCAAGTTTATGTACACTCAAGTCTATGTATCTACTAGAAGAATATTTTATAATTATAGAACTGTAACATTTAAAGCTATCATTAGAATAATTTTCTTATAGGAAACTTGGCATGCCTTAATGTTGACTTTAAGGACAAGAGAAGTCTTTCACAGGTCGTGAATGAAGAATTTGCCATCAACCTCAGAATGAGATGCCATAATTATATGGATTGTTTTGGTTATTCAGCTTCCTGCAGATGCTTAACTTACATTTTTAACCTCCCAATTTTAGGCTCATAAAAGTGTGGCGTATTTAGAAATCATTTTACCATGATTATTATTTTATTTCAGGGAAATATGAGTAGCAGACAGTGTTTTCCTCTGCTTTATTAATTCTCCTGTGTTTCAGGAAGAGCCAGCCTTGTTTTCCCACTACCATCTTCATGCTTCCTAGCCAGGCTCCAAAAAAATGTCATACAAGAAAGCAAAGATAGGTTATTCTATATAGTGTATTGAGAGTTTTAGTTTTATGGTTCTCATCGTGCTTTAAATTTTACTGTTCTTGCCAAACAAGAAAAATAATTTGATGTTGATTATTTGTTTTTGATATTCTAAAAGGGCAGTTATTAAGGTTCTTGGCTTTTTATTAGGGCATTTGATGCCATATATGTTAATAGCAAGTGTGTCATATCATTTTAAAATAAAACTATTTATTAAGATGTTTTATTGTGTTTGTTAACTTTCATGTAAATCTGAATCTTTAATGCTGATTTGATCTTTTAAAATTATATTTCAAATTATCTGTCGAAAAAAATTAGAAGTAATATTTACCCCTGATTCAACCATAATATTCTTCTTGCTACCATATAATTGGACAATGTAAACTATGCCTTTTGTTTTTACTTTATATGAAATAATGAAAGCTATTAGGGTTTCTCTAAGTTCTTCAAAAAAATACAGGAATAGATATTTTAAAAACACTTACCTAAAAAATCTAGAAAGCTTTTAGGTGAGAAACAAATAACTGGATTAGCTTGTGCCCCTGTTCTTAATCATTTTTAAATCTAATATTGATCTCTATTTTCATTTGAGAGATGGATAAGAATTTATATAATTAAGTGGAACTTTATCCTTATTTTGTATAACTGCTGTCAAGGTTGAGAATCCTAAAGCGACAATTTGAAGTGAAGCCCCATATATTGCTCCACTCATTTAAAACAAAAATTGGATCAAGATTCTTATCTATTATAAAGAAAGAAAATCTAGACTTTTTTCATATGTATTTTTTGCTAGAAGACCTTTTTTAAGTTAACTACCTCTGGTCATTCAGGATGAGATACACGACGCTGCTACAACTCCATAGTCTCTTGCTACCTGACCCTGACAGGTCAGCAGGGAGGCTCTCAGGGACCCAATATGATGCAACTACCTTTTCAAATGTTACTGGTTGTCCAGCTAGAGGGAAAAAGAATCTGAAAGGTCTCAACAGGCATTGTTCCGCCTCACAACTTGTTAGCCAGGACTAGTTACATAGTCCGACTCATGCCAGGAAATACATTTCTAACATGTGCCCTGAAATGGCACACATCTGAGCCATGGTTTTTTCATCTGTAAAACAGGAATAATACTGTTTACTTTGCAGGACTCTGATGAAACTTAAGATAAGTGAGACAAAGGCTGAGAGAGAAATCCTGTTTGGTGTTCTATCATTAGATCCACATTATCTTTAGCGGGCTGCTTTGTAACAGCAGAACCTGGGTTTTTGGAAGTACTTGGGAACCATGATCATGTTGATTAAGTACTGCTGACAAATTACTGTATTGGGTCATCACCAGGATCCAAAATAATCTCTTCCTCTTCTTTCTTCTTTTCCTTTTCTCCTTCTTCTTCTCTTTTCCTCTTCTTATCCTCCTCTTCCTTTTCTCTCCTCTCTCGTCCTTCACCAGCATCATCAACTATGTGGAAACCATTAATTTGCAGGTCTTTTATTTCTACCATCGTAGATATGTCCAAGAAAGAAAATTATATTTCCCTTCATGAGACAGAAAATAATCTGGAAGACTGTCTTTTGCTTAATTGTGAAGCCAACTGTGTGCTAATATCTTGTACCATAGTCTTCCATACCTTGAATAGCCATAGTTCCAATCATCAGCATGCTACATGGCAGAAAACTCAGTTATCTTTTTGAATAGAACCGTTTTGCCACAGAAAAGTCCAACAAAATCCATTTATTTGGTTAAAAAAAAAATATTTTTACATTCATAGTGTTAAAACTTAAATGATTCTATTCCGTGAGCACTCTGGCAAAAGGCTGTTCTTCACTGCTATTTATCTAGACCTGAGTGTGTGTGTGCTTATATTAAATCTACCTTTGAATTCTATTTGAATTGCCCACACTCTGCCAAATTAGGAAAATTAACTGTTCTGGAATACAGATGACATTTAGAACAATTGCCAAAAATTAAACTCATTTTCCCTTGATGCTTAAATGGCATAGGCAGCAATGCCCCTGCTGCTGAGTGGATGCATAGCAGAGAAACCAGGGTCACCAGAGAAGGAAGAGGGCAAAGGCAGGACCTGGTTGCAAACAGAATAAAAGGTGTTGCTAGATTTTAAACCGTAATAGGTGAGGCTGAGAGAGACTTCGAGAGAAAAAGTTTCTTTAATGACACAACCTTATATCAAAGATCATATTAAGGGCATAGCTGTTTTGGATAATCTCAAAAGAGCCATCATTAAGCTGAGAAAGAGAAGCCGGGGTCAAGAAGCTAGGAAACTATTCGGGCTGGAGGCAGGAAAATCTTGAGTATGGTTAATGGCACATGAAGCTAATGGAAGCAAGTAGCAGAGAAGTCTAAGTTGCTGAAGGAATTTTATTGCCAAAGAAGCCCTTAAATATTTGAGCCTTAAAAAACAACACTTGGGCCCCAATACCT